CGCGGCCGCGGGACGTTTTGCGGCAAAAACGGGGGATGCGGGGAGCGGGAGGGAGGTGCGTGGCGCGGCTCCAGGAGAGCTGCGAACAATTTCACCCATGGGAAAAAAAAATCATTTTTCAAAAAGTAAAATGATCCTAAAAGCTGCTAGAAGGACAAAGCACCCCCCGCCCCCTCCGCACGCTTCTAGTTTTCGGGGCAGCCCGGGCTGGAATAACACAGCTTGGAGCACGCACAGGGCCCAGGGGTGAACTTCGGGAAGAGGAGGTTTCCCTCCCCTCCTAAAATAGCAGCAAGGGGATTCTGTGGCAAGTCCTTTAGGTATTCCAACCTTTTAGGGCAGCAAGAAACACTCTACCATCATGTGCATGTCGCTGCACTTTCCCCTGCTTTGTGCGGCAGGCTCAAAAGCTCAACTAAAATTGAAGCTGTTCTAGGAACCTTGTCCATGAGGTAAACATCCTTCATTAGTCCTTACCAACACCATACCATTCCAGACAGACTGCTCGCCAAGCAGCTCAGATTTCATAAATCTTAAGCTTGCCATAGTAAAAACTAGCTACACATTTCCTCTCTCCTAAGAAATCATTACAGTGCAGTGTTTGCATGGGAATGGGGGAAAAGAACACAAAAGCGTGCAAGAAGTCCAGCTGTGTGAGACAGCAGGGACTTCGGGAAGGAGGGGACGCTTGAAAGTGTCTCTGAGTGCAATCAGGCTCTGAAAGGGAAGGGAGGTGGGAGGCCAAGTGCTCCCCAGGCCAGGGTGTGTCTGGTTCCCAGACAAAGCAAGACTTTTCTAGCTCTTGCCTAATGGTGAAAGCAGTTACACCGGTACAGCTCTTATAAGACTGGCATTGCTCTGGTGTAGTTCAATCTTGTTCCAAGACAAAGCGGGGAAAAAAATGTTTACTACAGAATATCACTCTAAGAGACTATGTGCAACTTTTCCATACATTAGAAAAACATGCTCTAGGCAAATTTAGAAAATTTACATCTATGTAACAATAACTCAGCTTTTGCTCTGACATCCATTGTAACAGGCCTCCTCACGATTCACTGGCTGTCACATACGCAGTGTGCTGAATGGCACTGATCACTGTTTGGTGCAGTTTGGGATCAGCTGCACTGGTGTAGCTGAACAGCTGAAAAGTCTTTTCCATTACTTAAGAGGCAGCCTCATGGTTGAGGACCTGTTAGTCTGCTTACCTAACATCAACAAAACACGCCACCTCTAAGAAAGGTTAAGAGAAGCACCTTACTGGGGTTCTGTGGATCTAGGGTTCAAGCCCAGCCAAGTCCTTCTTTTCATCTTTAACAGAGGCCATTCAAGACAGACAACAGTTTTCTTTGCAGAAGGTGGTAACTCTTGAGATACATCTCTGAGAACTACCATGTACGCTTATACTATATATAGTGGAGGAACATAACTTGAGACTATGTGCCTCATTTCACTATAAGTCAGTAACTGTACAAAAAGACAGGTTATGTTAATGCTTTGACCACCAACGTTTTGAGAATCACATCAAGCAGTTCACAGCTGGGTTCCACACAAGCCTTCACCGCTACACATCTGTGGCCTTTTCCACATTATGTGGCCTGATACCCTCCAGGTTTTACACATCAGGCATATTTCTGCCTCAGTGAAAGCTCAGTGAAAAGAAAAACACGTGAGAAGAAACAGGAAAGCCAATGGCCACAGCATATTGGTACTTCAGGACATTTGCCACTCACAAACTCCCCTCTGCAAGACTTCTACCAGGCTCTGCAGCTCTTCAAACCAAGTGCTGAAGACTAAGTATGACCTCTCCTATTCAAGATTAAACACAGTACTTCTCCAGATACACAGAATTTGTAAGAAAGCACAGCAGAATATTCTGGAGCACATTCTTATCTATCATGGTAACAGCTACAGAAGGAGCAGGAGATACATGAGCCAAAACAGGCATGAAAAACTATTTTTCTACTTAAGCTGTGAAATAAATCTGTGACCTCTCCAGGCATGAAATCAATGACCCCTGTGGAAAGATGCCACTCCAGAACCCACCCAGACTGTATTCCCTCAAACACGGGGCTCCTTTTTGCCCAGAACAGCATCCAGGACTCTGCTACCTGGTGTGCCAGAAACTGCAGCATGATCTTGTCATCTATCCAATAAGGAGCATGTCAACTCTGGGGGGCTTTGCCTGAAAAAGATGTGCAAGGCTTGCCCCAAGAGCTCTCACATATCTGATTTAAAAGCAGAGTTAATACAACACCAGAAGAGCAATACATCTGAAATCCTGGCATGGTAACATTCAGAGAAAGCAAAGCAGCACTGTTTTATTGTGTCACTGCACCTGCCAGTAGCTCATCTCTCCCTGCTGTCACAAAGTGACAAGATGTAGCTGTGAGAATTCTCTGTTCTTCATCAAAACAAAGAATTTAGTTAGGGTAGGCTGCAGACAGAGAAAGTCATCAAGTGTCACAACATGAGTAGCAGTGAGCTCTAGTTATTTTGTTTTCAGAAGCAAGACAGAAAACTCATTCCTAAATCACATAAAATTACTTGGAGTGAAAATAAGGCTGTATCACTCCCTCTGGCATGTAATCCCATAAGTACAATTAGGCAAGCTCTTACGCTTTTATTATAGTACTTGTAATATTTATTGCTCGTGTTTATAAAGATAACCCACCTCCTGACACTTTTTGCCTGTATGAAAATTTCAGTGTTGTCAAACACACACATTTCTGACTCTCCTGACCTGGTGCCATGCTGCAGCTGCCCAGCTTTGCTTTCCAGAGCAATTCCTTTCAATGGCACCATTCAAGATGGGTCATTAGAGCAGCTAATTATCTAGGGTAGTACAGACAAAAACACTATTTCAAACATTACGAGGCAGCCAATGAAATAGGGCTGAGCTTGGTCTCTCAAGCACTATTAACCTACCTGCTCTCTGATCATAGCTGATAGCATCTGAGAGTCAAGTACCTCCTGCCACAATCCAACCTGCTGCTGCGGACAGCTCTTGGGTGAACCCGGGATGTCTGAAGGCAGCCTGCCTTTGCTCTAGCAAGGTTCAGACTAGCACATGCTTACTCAGTTCTTGGTTTCCATCAAGCTTCTCAGGTCAGAGCAGCTGGTTTGTGCTCCTCCCAGACACTTTACAGGCATATTTTTTCCCTGCCCCTTCCCATAGGGCCTAGAAGTTGTTACAAGTGCAGAAAGTCAGGCTGACAGTACAGGTTCTGCCACAGGAACTTGAAAGTCTTTTTTCCAACTTTTATCATTTAACAAACAGAAAATCCCCCAGCACTCCCACAGTCAATTTCCTGAGACTACCACCTATCACACAAAGCATTATTAGCCCTGTTACTGCAGACAAGAAAATACCTTTACAGGAAAGAATGGGATTCTTTTGGCTCCTAAATCATCAATTTTCAGATTCAAATGCAAGCATCCTACTGGTAATGTGCTAGCTAAAAAAAGCAGCTTTTAAAGGGTTTTTTTTATGTAGTATTTTCATAAGGAGAGTAATCACCTGTCTGCTACAAAAAGAAGCCTTACAGAAACTATTCTACAACGAAAGCAGCTAAATCTTGGAAAACAGACTGGGGATGTCAATTTGTGAGAACAGTTACAAGAAACAGCAACACTGGAGCCTCTGTTTAGGAACTTCAACATTTACCTACATAATTTAATTAACACTATCGAGGATATGTAAGAAACAGATTATCAGTTCCTTAAGTCACAGTGGGCAAGGACATTACAATTATTACTAAGTAACAGAATACAGTCCCTCAAAGAGGAAAATACTGCCAAGGAAAATTTTCAACCTTATATGATGACAGACAACTACAAAGAAGCAGGCCAGTCATTTCTTTCTTCTTTAATATTTTAACTTGGTATAAAAAAAGAGCAATTGTTACTGTACATTCACATTTCTCCTCTCCCCAGTGCTTTGTTTTTTCTTTCAGGAGGTTCAGAGCCCACTTGCCATGAGGTGGGACATTAATTTTATTAGGTCCACATACAAATTGGTGAACATCAGAAGGGACATCTTGATTTTCAAAGTCTCTACCTCACAGGAGGAAAACAAGTACTTCTCATGAGCCCCTGGGAAAGGTTTTGACACTTAAAGAGACCAGTGAACCTACTGATGGAACAGAAACAATAGCAGAATTCTGATACTCTTAACGATGGTGTTTTAGGGGGAAGATTTATCACATCAATTTTTATTCCAAAAGAATTATTTTAACCTTAAGGTTTTAATTATATATTTTACAATTCAGTGTTAATGAACCCAGATAATAAACCATGACATTTCAGCCAGGTTCTTTGTTTTGTCCCCCTTCTGCTCAGATGTTTTAGCAAGTCTGAACCCTATCACAGTCACTGATGTATTTATCTGAAACAGCATCAAGCATACTAAAGGTGATACCTCTAAGTCTTTATGTTTTGCTCAACATTTCAATCTTGTACACTGGAAAGCCACTAAAAAACTTTGGCCAAGTGTGCCTCTCAGAGTAGACCAGATAATTCCTTCTCCCCAGAAATAATTGTTAAATACTTAGTTCTCATCTTCACACTTTAATTCTGAGATAATAGTGAGAAGAATCTTAAGGACTGAAATGTAATCTGCTCTTCAGTCTATACAATTTCATGTTCTTCGATGCTCATCTCACCCTTGCTACACAAGATAAGAGCACTGCTTGTTTCTCGTTTTATTTTGAAAGAGTTTAATCAATCTGAAGACTTTTAAGTTCTACATCA